AAGATGAGATTAAGGATGAGATTATGAGTTATGATTGTATGGATTATCTGATTAGCGATGAACTCGAGTCGAAGTGTGAGATTAATGAGAGGTAAGTGTCTAATGAGCACTACTTGACACTCAGACACTCAGTGACAACACATTTAGCTTTTTATTTGATTTGTTATTTCCTTCAATCAGTAGTACACCGATCGTAGCAATGGATCCACTCATTGATAATGTGATCACAGAATTGGATGCTTTGATTGAATTTCACATTCATTTGAAAGAAATTAATGTCAAAAAGTAAGTATTTATTTATTGGAAGCGCTGTCTGGAGTTGTGTGAACACATTGTCTCACTCTATGCCACAAATATATAATACTTTACTTTAATTACTGTTTACTTGTTTTCATGGTATTATAGACGGAGACAACTGGCGGCCAAAAGGTGTGAATTCATCGCAGGTTTTAGATGTGAAATCAAGATTTGTGTCGAACAGCGAGATCTCTACCGTTTGAATGAATGCCTTTCCGGAGCCCAGAGAAGATGGGGTCGTCTTCAGCCGTCAAATAAGATATTATTAGCCGTTGAGGACAATAAGAGGTATGGATACTGTATTATTGTCGAATAATTAGGCGTGAGATAGTAACCGTGAGAACTGAGTATTGCATTCACAATATAATGATCACATGTATATGTCGGGGGAGGGGTCGGACAGTATGTGCACCTTTTAAATGGCAAATTTTGCCCAATATATGCCCATATATTGACGTTTTCCCAACTTTGCACTACTATTTTAGGGGAGGTATATGCCCTAGGTGCTACAATTCTATTAAGGATAATAATGTACAATAAATAATAAGATACTCACAGTCAGTGATAAATAGCCTAAAAATGGACCCATAGACTGATCCCAACAATTAAGCCTTAAGCGCGCATAAACAATAAGATTCCGTGCAATTACTTAGTAACCAAGGTTATAATATAACTGTTATTAATATAAATGTAATTTTATTGAATAGGGTTAATGGGCAAATGTGTAGAATCTTCAATAATTTGCTGGACTATATAGACCAACAAAAACTGATGGCTAACTACTTCAATGACAATCCCAACCCCAACCCATATTGCCAATCAACGCCCCCTCATTTGCGTACTGCTGGCCACCGCACCCCTCCAGGCGTCAGACCTGCCGAAGCCTAAGATCCTGGCGCTCAACCACGCCGTCAAATACGTGAAGATCGCGCTTCTCCTGAATGGCCAACACTTGCCGTCAATACAACTCCTAATCCTCTGTCTGTCGGCTCTCAAGCAGTACAACGAAGCGCTCGCTCTTTGCGAGACGGCTCTCGA